GCAGGACCCTTTTTTTTTTTTTTTTTTTTTTTTTTTTGGTCCACACTAGAATCGGATCGCATGGGTATTCACACCTATGCGATCCGATTCTGCACATCGCACCGCGCTTTGCGAACTGATTTCGGGGTGTTGTTAACTTAACATACACATCCGCAGCGGTTCCTCCGTTTTAGCCCAGTTATACACTGATGCGGTGTGGAATTTGCACCGGTTTCTGTGCAAATTCCGCACCACATCACACCCCCCCCCTACCCGGATCGTGATGTGGTGCGGAATTCGCACAAAAACCGGTGCAAATTCCGCAGCGCATCATTGTGAACCCGGGCTAAAATGATTAATGTACTACTTTATTTTAACCCCTTCACGCCTAAGGGTAAAACAAATGTAAATGCCTAAGGACCATTCTGCAACGTTGACATGTGTTAGTAAAACCGTACATATCATCACAACTACTTTGTACATCCAGGTGGATTATACCGCGTTTTTTCAGGAGAAATTGGGGTTTCATTTGGTGGTAAATGGTAATGGATAGCTCCTGATTTTTTATTTTTTTTTATCAAAATAGTAAAATAAATATTTTTTTATTTAGCTGTGTGTTTCTTGTTACTACCATAACCTACCACCAAAGAACAACCCAAAATAAATTCTCCAGCTCTTGACGATCGCAGCGATATCTTATATGTGTATGTTATTTGTACCCGTAGTACAGCCAGAAACAATAGTGCGCATTTTGTTTTTGTCTTTTTTTTTTTTTACCTAAAACACACTGACATTGACACCATTTTTTTTTTATTCCTGACCTTGACCCAAACAATAACCCTGACACTGAACTAGATCAAACCTTGTTCTAGGTATTTTTCTTTATTTTTTATTTTTCTTTTTTAATATTTATTTTTTTTTTTTTTTACAAACATTTTTTTTCTCTCTATGTCAGGAGTTAGAGAGATACAATGTATCTCTCTCCTCCATTCATAGAGCGAGAAAAAAAGCAAGGGGGTAATGGATAGCTCCTGATTTTTTTTTTTTTTTTTATTTTTTTTTTTTTTATTATTATTATTTAGCTGCGTGTTTCTTGTTACTACCATAACCTACCACCAAAGAACAACCCAAAATAAATTCTCCAGCTCTTGACGATTGCAGCGATACCATATATGCGTTTGTTATTTGCACCCGTAGTACAGCCCAGAAACAATAGTGCGCATTTTGTTTTTGTCTTTTTTTTTTTTTTTACCTAAAACACACTGACATTGACACGAACGCCATTTTTTTTTAATCCTGACCTTGACCCAAACACTAACCCTGGCACTGAACTAGATCAAACCTTGATCTAGGTATTTTTCTTTGTTTTTTTTTTCTTTTATCTTTTAATATTTATTTATTTTTTTTTTTTTACAAACATTTTTTTTTCTCTCTACGCCAGGAGTTGGAGAGATACAATGTATCTCTCTCCTCCATTCACAGAGCGAGAAAAAAAGCAAGGGGGGCCGGGCTATCACAGCGATCATGTGACCCGGAATCGGGAGTCCCGGGTCCCGATAGTTAGAACAGGACCCAGGGCTCTCAGTGACACTGCGCTCTTTGTGCTGGGAGCGCGAAGTACGCAAATATGCGGCGCCACGGAAAAAAGCCCAGTTCCGTGAGGCCGCATGTTTGTGTGACGTCGGCGTTAAGGGGTTAATTCATGACACGGGTACTGCCAAATAGACAGGCCCATAGCAGCAAACATTTCTAGGGTCCATACAGGGGTGAGAGCTGAAATGGTTAAGTTAAAAATGGTCTTTTTTTTTCCGGACCCTTTACCTACACCATGACAAATGATAAAGGTTCCAGAAGTCTGCATTCACAGCTGATCAGTTGAATCTGATTTGTGATCTGTTTTTCTTTCCCATATAAATAATTGCTTACTATATGATGATTAAATAAATGTCCATGAAGGACTAAATGTCAGACTAGTCGGATGTAGCTCTGTCCTGGTGTTTCGCAATGAGTCAGCTAGATCCCCCCCCCAGCATCCCTTTCACATTAGGTAAGACACAGGATTAAAGTGAAAAGCTTTTCCATCCCTGTTTGGATAAATGTGCTCCAGAAATAGAAGTGTGCGGTCACGTTATTGCTGAGACTCTGCGGGAACATTGTGCTTTTGTTAGGCTGAGTAGGTGCTTTTTTGTTTTAGCTCTAAAATAACAAGTTCTTGTTCAGAGGAAAGCTGTGGGGGAGAAATTGGCGATGTTGAAGATGATTATTTTATTAAAGTCATGCCAAACCGTGAAATTATTTTTTTCCTTAATGCATTGGTTGCATTAAGGTCAAAAACATTTTTTAAGTTACCTGCGCTCCCCCTTTTCAGTGTGATGGGGAAGAGATCTGCGCTGTGCACGGCTGCTTCTCTTCTCCCCTCGCTTCCCCTTCACACAGGGACTTGAACAGCAGCTGCTGGCAATCAAATGCGGTGAAGAGGAAGTGGGGACAAGTCCCGCTCAGGGGTGTATTTACTACAAGGCAAACAAGGCATCTGCCTAGGGCGGAATTTTTCAGGGGGGACAGCACTGCCCCTTGGAAGAAGGGACACATGGGGACCTGGTGGGTTCCGAGAGATGGTGCGGGTTTCATGACGGTGTATGCACAGCCCCACTCTCATTCCTGCGGATGTCCAGAGCTGTGAAGGTGAGTGTCTTTCTCACTCTCGCCATGGGGGATAGTGGCTGGTGTATGGGGTGCAGTGGTAGTGGAAGGCTTGGGTGGAGGGCAGGGGTGTTCTTGGTCAAAGCAATCGTTTCTCCTCCTCTCTGGCTGCATTCTTGCAGCCATTGAGAAATACTGTGTGAGCTGTGATTGGTCACAGCTTGTCACATGGTACAAGGCTGTTGTGAATAGCCTTCTACCATGTGATCTCTGTGATCATTCACAGATTTCACACGAAGTAAGCAATGATGTCAGAAGTGACATCTTGCTTACTCCTATTTATGTGATCACTGATTGGCTAATCAGTGATTACATGATCGGGACCTCACACAGAGGTTCCGTACAGCGATCCTCCGGACACAGCAGGCACCGGATCACGCACAGTCCAAAATGGCGGGCGCCGTTTATGAACGGCAACCCGCCCCTGCACTGCTATCGTCCGGCTATTTATATACATGGGCCGGATGGGAAGTGATTAAAGCTGAACTCCAGGTACAGAAGTTTTAATGCAAATATATTTCTTAATAGCCTCAAAGGATATAAATAGTTACTTTGTGTGAGCCAAATGCCTTTGCAAAACCAGATATTACCTTATACAGCCTTGGCCTTGTACCATGTGGTCTCTGTGATCATTTCACAGATTTCACATGTAGTAAGCAATGATGTCAGAAGTGACAACTTGCTTACTACTCTTCATGTGATCACCGATTGACCAATCAGTGATCACATGACCGGGACCTCACACAGGTCCCGTACAACGATTGGTGTTCCGCGGTGTCTGGAGGACACAGTGGGCACCGGATCATGGTGCTGTGCGCTCCCAGGGATCGGGGGAGGACGTTTATAAATGGCCACCCGCCCCTGCACTGCACCCATCCGGCCGTTTATATACATGGGTCGGACAGGAAGTGGTTAAAGCGGTAATAGACTTCAGCTTGAGAAAAAAAAATTTTTTAAATCCCCCGGAAGGTAGTGTGATAATGTGTTCGTATGCATCCCATACCAGCACATTATGCAGGACTTACCCTAAAATGAAGCCCTCCAGCGGTGCAGTGTCCCCGCTGCAGAGGCTTCCGTCTTCACCTGGCCTTCCTTCTGGGTTTGCAAGCTCCAGCCGTCTGACTGGCCGAGCTGCGATGACGTCACTCCTACGCATGGCACAGTGAAGGAACGGCACGGGTATGCTATTCATTCAGGGCACATGCGCCAGCTGACAAAAAGATCGAATATGTCCTGAGCGGTGCACGTTTAGGAGATACTCATTTTACCTACAGGTGGTCTTTATTGTTAATTACTGCAGGTAAAAGATACAAAAGGGGGTTTACTTCCACTCTAAGATGTAATATTTTCATCTGTTGTTGATCCATTGTTCGTACTCCAACTCGCACACTTTGACAATAGCATGTGTTTTGTCTCAGCATTTTTTTTTTTTTTTCTTCAGCCCAACAGACTTGGCTCATACCATTCCTATATAGTTTTTAGAAATCATCTGAATGGTCACTCTGCAATACCAGATTTTGCCTGTAGGCGATGCTGTAAGAGAAATCTTGTTTTGACTTTTGGTCATCAGGGGGATACCGTTCTCTTTTGCTACTTAGAGCAATATTAAGCAGCAGTGTTTTGCAGAGTATGACATTTCGGCATTGGATTTACTAGGCCTTACATGTGTTTAAAGTGGAGCTCCACCCAGAAGGGGAAGTTCCGCTTTAAGGACCGCTCCACATTAAGCATTGGCACCTTTGGAGGGCAGGGGGGGAGCGGGTACCCAAATCTGACAGGTACCCGCTCCCACTTCTGGTCCGATCAGAAGCAGAAGGTGTCCTCCCTCCCTCCCTGTAGTCTTTTGGGACACGTGACAGGTCCCAGAAGACTACAGGACCATTCATGAAGCGCAGCACTACTCGCGCATGCGCAGTGGGTACCCGGCTGTGAAGCTGCAAGCTGTCACAGCCGGGTGCCCACACTGAAGATGCCGGCCTCCAGGAATACAGGACCACTGGTGAAATGGACTGCGGGGGACACACCACGGGACCGAGGGGCAGGTAAGTGTCTGTATTTTAAAAGTCAGCAGCTACAGTTTTTGTAGCTGCTGACTTTTATTTTTTGAGAGGGTGAGTGGAAGTCCGTTTTAATTTTGGGGGGAATCGGGTCAAACTCTTCTAAACTCCAGACCTTCCTTGTGTATGAGAGTTTTCTAAGATGTCTTTCTGTGCATTATTGGGATTATTTGCTGTTCATTCAAACTTAGTTTTTGTTTTTTTCAGTCTGCCACACTGCGCCCGTACCTCAACACAGTCCGCGCCACCTTACAGGCAGCGATGTGTCTGGAAAACTTCTCTTCTCAGGTGGTGGAGAGACATAACAAGCCAGAAGTTGAAGTAAGGTAAGATCCTGACTCTATGGAATAAGCCCCATGTAGAATCATTGGAGCATTTCACTTTTTCAGATGTTTACGGGTCATTCTGTGTGGTTCTCAACACTTCAACATGTAGTCCCACGCCCGCCACACAACTAGCGCTGTGAAACACATCAATGCAGCTGCAGCAGAATCTACTGTTTATTTTTATCTCCGTTATCTATAATCCACTGACACCTTGACACATCAAGATTCTCACATGTGCTGGAGGCGTTCTAATTTATGCAGTGCAATTTACCTTTTTGAAAGTCAGGAAGGAGCCTTAAAGGATAAGTTCGCCTTTAGTAGCATGTGACACCCATAGTCAGGATGTAAGATTTTACTAAAGCGACTTCTTGCAGCCCTACCGGATCCCCTTTTGTAACAGTGAGCAGGGGGTTCCTCTCCCCGCACCCGCTGTCGCCAATTCAAAAACTGCCATGCTGTTGTGTCATTTATTCACAGCTGCCTGACAGACAGATTGTAGTTCTCAATGAACTGTGCGGGTGCTGGTGAGCATTCTCAAAGTTCGTTGATCTTCCTGGACTTAGTAACTGTCTGCCTGTATGGAGGTACGGGTAGACAGCTGAATTCAGGGCTGCTGTTAGAAACCATGTGGCCCCATAGAGCCAACCAGACGGGCACCCCCCAGAAAAAAAAAATATGACATGTTTACCGGACCCTTCCTCAACTCTCCATCCTGATTATGTGCCTATAGCTGCTACTGGGTAGGCAGCACTGTGGGGGTAGAGCGGCATACGGGGGGGGGGGGGCCTGGGCAGTAAGGGGAAATTAATGGTGGAATTTAATGGTGCATAGGGAGGGTGATGGGTGCAGCGGAAGAAGAGGTAAAAACTGGAACCGATCCCCTGTACGGCTCTCTCTGCAGCAGCTGAAAGCCATCAGGAGGGGGAGGCGAAGAAGCCAGCATTCAGCTGCTGCAGGGAGAGCCATAAGGGGGATTGATTCCAGTAATTGCCCCCCAGCCGTGATGATCACCCTCCCTGCCCACATCTGATTCACCCAGCTGCCTTATCCTTTAAGTCCTGCTGCACACGGGACATTTTTATAGCGGCTGTTTTTGGCTTTTGACGTTTTTTTTTTTCTACAGCCAGTAAACTCCCCCAGCATGTTATCCTATGTGTCCATGCACACAGACTGGAATTTACATTTTTTGGTTGGAAAAAAACGCAGGACTAGTGGGTTTCTAGAGGAGTTTTTTAGCTGTAAAAACACTTTAACGCTGAAAAACGTTTTTGCTCAAAAAACGCAGCTAAACACTAATACAAAAACACTGAAAAACTCACATTTTTAACGTGACTACACCGCTAACATTACCAGCGTTAATGCCCCGTGTGTATAGAGCCCAAATGTATTTATTTCAGGTACTTATATAGCTCTGTCAATATACGCAGCACTTAACACATATATATATTGTACATTCACATCAGTCCCTAACCCTCAAGGGGTGTACAATCTAAGGTCCCTAACTCACATCCACATACTAGGGCCAATTTAGACAGGATCCAATTAACCTACCTGCATATCTTTGGAGTGTGGGAGGAAACCCACGCAAGCACAGGGAGAACATGCAAACTCCATGCAGGAGGCGCCATGGTCGGGAATCAAACCCATGACCCATTTACTGCAAGGCAGACGTGCTAATCACTAAGCCACTGTGCTGCCAAATGGTTGGGTTCAAAAATCCATGGCTAGTGTTTTCACTTGGCTCAAGTTTTGGTGTTTATGTAACATTTAACTCCAGCCTTACCTATTTTCCCACACCTGCAAAGTCCTCTGCTGCGTTTGAAACTCCCTGCAAACCTGCATCGCCACAATATAAACCTTTGAAGCTGCAGCAGCTATCTTGAGCCCACCTTCATTTCCTGTTTGAAGGCATTCTGTCATCAATCAATCAATCTCCTCTCCTCCTGATCCATTCTGTTGTTACCCGCCTCTCACAGCTGTTAGCTTTCTCTGCCGTCAATCATTTTGTTCCATTATATAGAACAATACATCCTTGGCACCCTTTAGATGTGCAGACGTTAGCTGCATAATTTGCTGCTTGATAAGAAATCAAGTTATTGAAAAAACTACAATCAAGCGACTGGTCAGCAGATTGCACAGCTAAAATCTCCAATACCCAGTGGCCACCAGGGAGGAGCATGCATGTCTAAAGGGATGCCAGGGATGTGTACTTTCATTGAGTGCCCTTTTTAGAAAAAGATGATATGAGGCAGGACGCTGTCATTTAATACCAATCTGTACACCCAATTGAAGCACTGTGTTTTGCAGCCGGAGATGCACAGGAGTTCCATGCACGCATCCCAGAGTGTGTACACATCAATACAAGTCCTTGGTTCAGAATGCAGGCTGTCTGCTTTCTGATGTGTACATTGGATGTGCACAACTAGATGCGTGTGGAAGTGCGTGTAGCCAGACAGCTGTCATTTATTACAACAGGCTGTCTGCAGTCCCATGCATGGAACACCTTTGCATCCCAGATGGTTAAGACTGCCCTTTGCAGGGGCGTACAGATCAGTGTGCCCCTGTGAATGAGGCCTTACAGGAGTCTGCTGGCCCCTACCATCAAAGCAAAGACCAGCTGACAGACCCATTGATGAACTCACTGGGTCTCAAAAGAGGTGTTTCTTTTAAAAAAAAAATGATTTCTTTGAAAATGCTTAATTGCAAGTTTATCAGTGAGGATGAAAGGAAGGTATTGCGAGTACTATACACAGTACTATAATGTGTATGTCAAGCCACAAAAAAAGAGCAACAAAAAAAACAAAAGGCATACATAGTACAGTTGTGCAATACATGTATATTTGTCCACGTTTGTCGCTTTAAACCCCCTGCAAGTATAGAACAATACCTGTGTGTGCCAGAAATGCATTCAGCTCCTAAGTCCTGTTGTGGACTGACAACACAGAATTTTTGTGGAGTGAATAGTGTCAGCCCTGCTCTTTGTATTTTTTTTTTTTTTTTTTAATAGTTTTGGAGAAAGATTAAAACCCATGTCAGGTTTTGTTGATTTTGGTACCCACATTAGGGAAATTCACCCTCTGAATTTGTACTGTTTGCTGTTATCGAAAGTGAAAGTGAAACAAAATCCCAAAATTTTGGCTGACGCTGGAATAGTAATAGAGGGGACATGTTCCAATGGGGACACTAGTTTGGGTAACCTGGTGGCACCCTGGAATTCCCTCACTGGAGAGATTTCTTCTCACTTCCTGTTTTGGCTATAGGACAGGAAGTCAAGGGAAATCTCCCCTATGGGACACAGATGGCAAAAAACTGGCAGAGATTATGACCCACCCTTACGCAATCCAAAATGGGGAAAAAAAAAAAAGTTTTGCCTTTAGTTACATTTTAACACACCGAAAGGGAGAATATAAAGTAGTTATTGTTAGTGTACATACTGTATACTTTAAAGTGTTACTAAACCCCGGACCCTGCATTCACTATGCCCGGTCTCCCCCCCCGGACCCTGCATTCACTATGCCCGGTCTCCCCCCGGACCCTGCATTCACTATGCCCGGTCTCCCCGGACCCTGCATTCACTATACCCGGTCTCCCACAGTATACAGAACATGGAAATGCAAGTATTTTAGTTAATGTAAACTGCTAAATACCTTTTCTTATCAGCAGTTAGAGCAGTCTTGTGACTTCTGTCAGTGTCCAGCTGAGCACTAGTTAAAACTTGTAGATGGAGATTTTTACTCTGCTCTAGGAAGATGCAGGACCCCTGGCCTCTGTATGGACAGTGCTGATTGGCCCTATGCTGATCACATGCACTCTCCCAAGAAAAATTAAAAACCTCTCTAGCAATACACTCCAAACTGAGCATGTGCAGAGTGACCACACGATATGTCTTATCAGGAGATAAGAGGGGGACACTGGAAGAAGGGGAGGATCAGAGAAGTCAGGATCAAACAGCGTTTTTACACAATGCAGAGGATTGACCCCTTAGGTTCCACAGTGAGTATAAACAAGCATGTTTTACTACATATACAGACTGATTGTACTGTTTTGGGTTCAGTAACACGTTAAACATTCCCTGTATGAAAAGTAGAAGACCTGAGCAGGCAGACTGGAAACATACGGGTGTCTTCTTAACCTGTACAAGGTGCATGGAGGAGTGTTGATAGTGGTCTAAATGACTTTTAATTCTACACTCAGGTTTTCTGAAACTGAAGGAGCAAGAAATGTTCACAAACTGATGTCAGACTGGTAACCATGGAAACAGTGTGCGGTACATTCCGTTACTGGGAGAGACGTGGTACTTGGTTTTTGGTGTTAAGAAGTAGATGGCATTTAAGCTACTTATAGGAGACATTCATGTACAGCAGTCCTTGTGCTGAGTCTGGTTTCCTGACATTTTTTTATGGTGTTTTATGGTTGAACACCCCAAGTTATTAAAGTGGAACTTAAAGTGGAGTTCCAGTCAGTTTTGTGTTTATTAACCTCCTTAGCGGTATTCCCAAGTGTAGCTCGGGGTAAAATGTCAGTACCAAGAGCTACACTCGGGCTTACCATGCGGCGTTGCTCAGGGGGTCCCTGCAGCACTTACCTTGTCCTTCGCTCCCGCGATGTGTCCCCTGCAGCGTCCCCGGCCATCTCCTCCGGCCGATGCCGGCATCCGGCTTCCATGTTCCGGTCCCTGTGACGTCGGGACATACAGGCACCAGAACCGGCGGCAAATTTGAAATTTTTAAAAAATTTCATTTTTGCTGTCAATGCTGTTTCAACATGCATGCATTTCACATATATTTTGTCCCTACTGCTTTGTCCGGCGCCCTGCCTGCATTTTGTCTGTTCTTTCTGCCTGGAAACTTAGAAAAGTCCATGGCGTCCAAAAAGCGTCCCTTTAGGTCAAAAGCGGTTTTAGACCAGCTAGAGAACAGCGATAGTAAATCAGAACCACTTACAGAATTGAGTGATAATGATTCGTGGGGGAAATTCCTCATCAGACACTGAAAACGATTTTGCGACTTTGCTCAGCGATGTGCGAATTTGCCTCTGTATTTCAAATTTCAGTGTTTTTGGTTTGATTATATTATTGAATTAAATTTATTATTATATTATTATTATTTTTTATGATTTATTAAATTATAATTTATGATTTCGTGTTTCAAGTTTTATCATATCCGGGATGTTTACTAGACTCTTGTTCGGACAGATTTCAGTGAGTTATTCCTAAAAATTACAGCCTACAATAAAAAAAACGACATATTTCCATGCAAAAAATGGTACCGCTTTCAGCACAAAAAATCGGAAAGAATCATACCGCCGAGGAGGTTAAAAGTCAGCAGCTACAAAAAACTGTAGCTGCTGACTTTTAACAAACACGCACTCACATCTGTCCCGGGGTGCAGCGACATGCTCACCCGCACCGTCCCTCTCCGGCGCCGGCATCACAACTGTGGGCACCAGGCTGTGACAGCTTGCGGCTTCACAGCCAAGTGCCTACTGCGCTTTGGGAATGGTCCTCGTAGTCTTCTGGGACCTGTCACGTTTCCCAGAAGACTACGAGGAGGGATGACAACTTTTGCTTCCAATCGCCTTAGGCCAGGGGGTGTCAAACTGGCGGCCCTCCAGCTGTTCCAAAACTACCTCTACCTTTGGGAGTCATGCTTGTAACCAGGGCTGTGGATAAGGGGGTACCACCAGTCCTCCTGTACGGGACCCAGGCCAGCAGTGGGGCCCAGGCAGCTGGGTGTATCAGATTTGGGCAGGGAAACTGATCAGCATGGCAGGGTGGAGGGGGGGGGGGGCAATTACGGGAACTGATGAATGGCTGTCCCCCACCCCTGCAGTGCTGTTAGCTTTCCTCCTCTCCTTTCCACTGCCAGCTGCAAGCACTCGATAGGATCCTTCAGGATGGAGTGTGGAAAGGGTCCGGTAAATATGTCACATGTTAAGGTTCCCAGAAGACTTCGGGAGGAAAGAGGAGGCCGAACTTCCGGCTCACTTTCCTGCGGCAAACTGAGCCGGAAGTGGCAACGGGTACCTGTCAAAAACAGGATCTCCCCCATCCACCCCCCCCCCCAAAAAAAAAAGATGCAGTGAAAGGGGGGAGGAGGCAAATAAGCGCTTTTGAGTGGAACTCCGCTTTACGATAAAAAAATAAAATGGGTTAACCAGCAGGATTTTTAAAGTGGTAGTAAACTCTTGAAATAAAACAAGTTTCCTCCTGCAAGACAATATAATGTGCTAGTACATTGTGAAAGACTTACCTGGAAACTGAGCCCTCCAGTGGTGCGTTGTCACTGCTGCAGAAGCTTCATCTTCGCTCAGTGTTCCCTCCAAGTTTACAGGCTGCGGCCTCTTGAATGGATGAGCCGCGATGACTTCACTCCTGCGCATGCTCACAGGAGTCAAGGCCTCGGCACACGACTCTGAAGGAACGGCACAGGCATGCCCTTCTGCTCACTAGAATATCTCCTAAGGGCCCGTTCACACTTGACTTTATTTCTAACTCTTGCCAAACGCCCCTATAGTGTTAGGGCTCGTTCACACTAGGCTGTTTTGCCAACGCTTGCCAAACGCCCCTATAGCGTTTGGCAAGCGTTGGTCCGGTGTTTGCGGAGCGTTTTTAACGCTCGGCAAACGCCGCATGCGCGGTTTAGCGGCGGTTGCTAGGCGTTTGCCGAGCGTTAATAACGCCCCACAAACGCCTATAATGCATTTGAGTGGTGTTACCGCTCCGCCAACGCCCCGCAACCGCGTCGCAACCGCACCGCAAACGCCGGCCGGGCGTTTGCGGAGCGGCACCATAGACGAGAATAGGAGGCTTCAAAGCCTCCTGACTCGACCAGAGGCGTCCGTTTTGCCGCAACGCGACGCAAACGCTCCTGTTAGAACAGCACCATGTGCTGTAATGTGCAGAGTTGGCAGAGGCGTTTGGGAAGCGGTAAAAACGCTTCCCAAACGCCTCTCTGCCGCCTGCACACAAGGCTAGTGTGAACGTAGCCTTAGACAGGCGTTTGGGAAGCTTTTGTAATGCTCCCCAAACACCCCATGCACGGTTTTGAGGTGGTTGATAGGCATTTGCCAAGCGTTTAAAACTGCACCACAAATGCCTTTAATGAAGTTAAATGGTATTAACGCTCTGTAACCGCCTCGCAACCACACCGATTGGAAGCTTCAACTCCTCCTGATTCGACACGAGGCGTCAGTTTTGCCGCGACACTAAAGGTTCAGTGTGAACAGCACTGTGTGCTGCCATGTGCAGAATTTTCATTGGTGTTTGAAAAGCTTAAAAGCTTCCCAAATGCCTGTCTGACACCTGCTGACAAAGCTAGTGTGAACTGAGCCTTAATGGTGCATCATCCAGGTATGGTGTTATCATCCAGGTATGATATATACATGGTGTCACTGATCCAAGCTGGATCAAGGCAACGAAGTTCAAATATTCATACCTGGAATTCTTCCTAAACACAGTTCTGGTACTCACTTCAAATATGGAGCCACAGAAGAAAAAAGTAAGCTTCCAAGATTTTAAGTACATCGAAGATCGCATGGTGATCATGGTAGAGGAATGGGATAAAAGTTGGTTAACCCCCCTGGCAGTATTCCTGAGTGTAGCTCGGGGTACAGTTTCAGCACCACAAGCGGTAACCCCCCCGAGGTACACTCGGGAATACACTGCAGTGTTGCTCCGGGATCTCTTCTTCACTTACCTTGTCCTGCGCTCCCGCGATGTCCCTCCTGCAGTGTCCCCAGCCATCTCCTTCGGCCGATGCCGGCATCTGTCTTCTGGGTTCCGTTCCCTGCGACGTCGGGACGTACGGGGGACGGAACTGGCGGGAAATTTAAAAATGACAAAAAGTGACATTCACTAAAATCACATAGTATAACATTACTGTATCAAACCCATTTCACATACATTTTGTCCCTACTGCTTTGTCCGGCGCCCTGCCTGCATTTTTACTGTTTTTTCTGCCTGGAAACTGAGAAACGTCCATGGCGTCCAAAAAGCGTCCCTTTAGGTCAAAAGCGGTTTTAGACCAGCTAGAGAACAGCGATAGTAAATCAGAACCACTTGCAGAATTGAGGGATAATGATTCGTGGGGGAAATTCGTCATCAGACACTGAAAACGATTCTGCGACTTTGCTCAGCGATGTGCGAACTTGGCGCTCTAATTCAAATTTCAGTGTTTTTGGTTTGATTACATTATTGAATTAAATTTATTATTTTTTATGATTATTTATTAAATTATAATTTATGATTTTGTGTTTCAAATTTTATCATACCCGGGATGTTTACTAGACTCTTGTTCGGACAGATTTCAGTGAGTTATTCCTAAGAATTACAGGCCTACAATAAAAAAACAACATATTTTCATGTAAAAAAATGTACCGCTTTGAGCACAGAAATACTGACATAATCAGACCGCTGGGGAGGCTACAGAAGCTGTGCCTCGCTGTTTTTGCATTTAGTAAATCTTCAAGAGATTATCCACTCTCCTGTTCAGAAAATAGTTTGCCCAACACAAGGCAAATCAACAGGTTCAGGAAAGAGGGGTCATTGGTGGTACTTCCTTTGTTCTGACTGGCAAAGCTGGTGAAGCATCTTTATCACAAAACTGTAGCTTTCTGTAATGGCTGCTGTGCTAGATGACTTTTCATGAGCATCAAGAAGTGCAGAGCTGAATGTAGGCCACTTGGCCTCTTTACCAGCAGACTTGTAGGGGAGGATTGTATGTGATGTAGGACAGTTCTGTGAAGCTGTTTGCTAAAGAAGTCTTTCTTTTCTGGGTTTCAGGAGTAGTAAAGAACTGCTCTTACAGCCGGTGGTCATAAGCAGAAATGAAAAGGAGAAAGTGCTGATTGAGGGATCCATTAACTCAGTGCGCGTCAGCATCGCTGTGAAACAGGTGAGCTACTGCAAGCGTGACCTGACAGTACGGTTTGTGATTGTCTGGTATCATGTGCCTGTGTGTTGCTTTAAATAACTTGTTACAGATGCAGCTGCCCCCCGCACCCACCGATCCTCTGTTTTGACATTGAGTGGGGGATTTTTTCCCTCTGCTCACTGTCAAAATGTTTAAACCCACGGTGAAAACTACAGAGAGCCTTTGTGGCCGCCTGCTTGTATTTCTCAATAAACTACCAGGGCACTGGTCAGTGTTTCTCAACCTTTTTTCAGTCTTTAAAAATGGACAGTCCCGAGGCACCCTTTAAAATGATGGACAGTCCCGAGGCACCCTTTAAAATGATGGACAGTCCCGAGGCACCCTTTAAAATGATGGACAGTCCCGAGGCACCCTTTAAAATGATTCCCGAAAATGATGGACAGTCCCGAGGCACCCCGAGGCACCCTTTAAAATGATGGACAGTCCCGAGGCACCCTTTAAAATGATGGACAGTCCCGAGGCACCCGTTTTAAAATGATGGACAGTCCCGAGGCACCCGTTAAAATGATGGACAGTCCCGAGGCACCCGTTAAAATGATGGACAGTCCCGAGGCACCCGTTAAAATGATGGACAGTCCCGAGGCACCCTTTAAAATGATGGACAGTCCCGAGGCACCCTTTAAAATGATGGACAGTCCCGAGGCACCCTTTAAAAAATGATGGACAGTCCCGAGGCACCCGTTAAAATGGATGGACAGTCCCGAGGCACCCGTTAAAATGATGGACAGTCCCGAGGCACCCCGAGGCACACCCGTTAAAATGATGGACAGTCCCGAGGCACCCGTTAAAATGATGGACAGTCCCGAGGCACCCGTTAAAATGATGGACAGTCCCGAGGCACCCGTTAAAATGATGGACAGTCCCGAGGCACCCGTTAAAATGATGGACAGTCCCGAGGCACCGTTAAAATGATGGACAGTCCCGAGGCACCCGTTAAAATGATGGACAGTCCCGAGGCACCCGTTAAAATGATGGACAGTCCCGAGGCACCCGTTAAAATGATGGACAGTCCCGAGGCACCCGTTAAAATGATGGACAGTCCCGAGGCACCCGTTTAAAATTGGACAGTCCCGAGGCACCCGTTAAAATGATGGACAGTCCCGAGGCACCCGTTAAAATGATGGACAGTCCCGAGGCACCCGTTAAAATGATGGACAGTCCCGAGGCACCCGTTAATAATGATGGACAGTCCCGAGGCACCCGTTAAAATGATGGACAGTCCCGAGGCACCCTTTAAAATGATGGACAGTCCCGAGGCACCCTTTATAATGATGGACAGTCCCGAGGCACCCTTTATAATGATGGACAGTCCCGAGGCACCCTTTATAATGATGGACAGTCCCGAGGCACCCTTTATAATGATGGACAGTCCCGAGGCACCCCGAGGCACCCTTTATAATGATGGACAGTCCCGAGGCACCCTTTATAATGATGGACAGTCCCGAGGCACCCTTTAAAATTATGGACAGTCCCGAGGCACCCTTTATAATGATGGACAGTCCCGAGGTACCCTTTAAAATTATGGACAGTCCCGAGGCACCCTTTATAATTTATGGACAGTCTTGAGGCACCCCATTCTAAATTCTGAAAAACTATTCTAATAGTTTTTATACCTCAGCAACATCCACACATGTAGGACACCCAACATTAGAGGTGATTTATTCTTCCAAAGCAAATACTCTTATGCACATTGGTACTGACTAGTATTCCAATGTTTCTCTTCTCCCTCAGTTTTTCTCCATCACTGAGCTAATGTGACCCCAGCACTGATGGAAAGGGGCGGGGGAGGGTCAAACTAGGATGCTGTGCAGGTAGATGACATCCTCCTTATCAACTGATGATGTCATTGGTTGTCAGCGGCTAGAAGGTCATAATGGTGCACAATGAAAATTGGGGCTTTGTGTAACTAAAAGACAGGCTTGTTCCACCCTCTGGCTTGTAAACAAGTTTTGGGTAGTTTTTAGAGATTTTGCCCAGGAACCCAGTTGAGAGAGGCTGCTCTAGGTAGCTCTTTGAGTCTTCCTGTCAGTTTGTAACTGCCTGCCCATCTGAGGTACAAGCAGACAGCTTACATACACTGCCTGCTAGAGCCCTACATCTGGGTCTAATGCTGTGCAGGCTCATAATAAAGAAAAAATAATAAATCCAAATTTTTTTCATTTAACTTGCAAAAAGTTGTGTATTTATAATTCATTTTTTTTTTTACCAAGGTAAACTAATCCTAATATTCTAACACAGGCACCTAGGCATTGCAATGGCTTTAATTGTTCCTTCTACACCTGTTTTCCAGGCAATTATGAACAGGCATAGCTCAGACACTTTTGACTAGTGTTGGGTCTTGCCTACCCCCTCTTGCCCCCCCTGCACTTCCCATTGGCCAAGCACTGTGCTGGGTTGCCTTACTGGTCCTTATTAGGCCATTTGATATGGTCCAGTATTTGGGCATAGATGGAATAATGAAAGCTCTTCCTATCATATATTCTACTGGAGCCATGTTGTCAAAGACTCACACTCACTTTGAACATTCAGGGGAAGGTGACAGTGTCTCTAGAAAAGGCATCCCCTGGCCTCATGTGCTTACCTTACCTGTATTTCCACCAGGGTGGATTTGATTTAAATCAAACTGATTTAAATCACTAGTCAGTAAGGCTTGATTTAAATCCTAGTTTTCTACATAGACTAATTCTTGCTGGTATAACTTTAATATGCAAGTAGATGAAGATTTTTAGAATAACAACTTTTCTGTTGTACTTAGGAAGGAGAAAAATAATCATTACCTTAATAATAACAATTTAAATAGATTTATTCAACTGAAACAATAACATTCCAGCATATGTGATTTACTTAAACATCCATATTTATTAACTAATTTGGCTAAACAAAATATATATATTTTAAGAAACTTAGACTGTCAGCCCCTTCCTCCTCACACTTAGTTTCACTTTCTTCTTGTGCAGATCTATTCCACTCCAAACAATCAGAAAAATATTGTTTCTGTTCTATTCACTGAACTTCTTGAAACTTAGCACTGAAGGGGTTGATTCTGTATTCATAGGTTTGTAGAAGTTAGGATGAAGGTCTTTTTCTTAACTCTGCTCATGTTATAACATTTTTGCTGTGAAGAAGAGGCATGTGATCTCCGCTGAGTCAAATTCAGTTTTGAGAACTGCAAAAGTAAACCGAGCATCTGTGATAATATCTTGTAGGCAGAGAAACTGCCCAATAATCTTACAAAAACCTCTGGAAGAGCATGACATTGTGAATGGATTCATGGAATTTATTTACCAAAAAAATTAAACCTATACAGCCTTATTCTACATAATTAAAAAACTAATCTTTATTTCATGATGGAATAACCTTTGGATGGTAATATATTTTCCTCAAAAAGCATTTTATTTAAAAAAATCCGATTTAAATAAAAAAAATCCGATTTAAATAAAAAAAATCAGATTTTTTTTTAAAATCATTGATTTTTATCCACCCTGATTTCCACCCAGCTCCTTGCTCTGTGCTATGAACAGCATTGTTGGCAACCCAGAAAATGTACTCTCTGGTCACGTGCCAGTGCTTGGGCATAGTGATTGGTTAAGGCAACTGGCAAGGTGATAGTTTCTCTTTAAAGTATAACTAAACTCAAAACATTTTTTTTTTAGTTTTGTATGGAATGCAGAGGGATTAGAACACCCCCATCAGTTTTACTTGCTGTATGTGCCCCCGTTAGGGCGATTCATGCTCTCTATTTGTCCTATTTGAAAGTAACAAACAAATCCTACATTTTGGGTTTTCCCCAGAAAAGTAATAGAGGGGAAATCTTCCAATGGGGATGTAACGGAACCGACCCCAGACTGCGCTTGGGGACTTCCTTTAGAATACCGCTTCCCCGTCCGAACACAGACAACAAGCACCACAGCGACCATACAAGACTAGACGACACCAGCCTGGAAGTAAACCAGGAGGTAGACTAGTTTATTTGAACACAGATACAAGATATATACACTGGATACAAATGGAGAAACAGAAAAAGGGTGCACCGACCTAGTGCATTATCGTTTAAAATAATTTATTGAAGAAACAAAATAGGTATCATACTCACAATGGACATAATAACACAGACATGTCAAACTGAACAAGGTGTATGATCCAAACAACATCTGAGTCCATACGATGGTTGGCTCTGAGGAAGAGGTTGTGTCCTCGAAACGCGTTAGTCAGTTGGTTCCATTGTATGGACTCAGATGTTGTTTGGATCATACATCTTGTTCAGTTTGACATGCCTGTGTTATGTCCATTGTGAGTATGATACCTATTTTGTTTCTTCAGTAAATCATTTTAAACGATAATGCACTAGGTCGGTGCGCCCTTTTTCTGTTTCTCCATTTGTATCCAGTGTATTTGGACCACCCCGGTCTGTTGAGGGCAGCAAGCAGTGCATATTCCAGAAAATTCCAGAACATTCCTATTGGGTCTACTGAGTCCTTTCCTAGCGCAGGAGAAAAGTGTTTGTTGTGTTGGACAAGATATATACACTCAGGAGACAGTCCCCCCTCCCTGCATAATGACACAGGGCGGGGTAATCAAGATTTAGTAAAAAGAGACACACCAACAGACAGTCCCATCAGGAGTGAGGGCTGCTGGAGACACCGTGCCCCCCCCCAGCGCTAGACGGATGGGAACGGATCCCCATAGGCCTGGTTTTAGCGGATAGCATCAATCAGATGTCGGTGTGTGTAAACAGACAAATGTCTGTTTATAACTGACGCTCCGTAGAGAACAATGAAGGGTCCGATCGGGTCCGCCTAAACAATTGACAGGTGGACCCGATCGGTCTGCCCATGTGAAAGGGGCCTTTTTATTGTGTAGGGGGTGAGCACAAATACATAATCTTCCAGGTGTTCTAAGTATTGTGATTTCACCAGCTGCTAATCAATCTGTTCTGACCGTAAAAACTTACTTATCTGCACATTTTACTTGAAATATTAATTGTTTGTTTGTACAGGCTGATGAAATTGAAAAGATTTTATGCCATAAATTCATGCGTTTCATGATGATGAGGGCAGAAAACTTCTTCATCCTGCGTAGAAAACCTGTAGAGGTAAGAACATGTTTGATGCTGGCCAGTCACATAATAGTACCGTTGCTTTTATGAAAGAATCAGAAATCGATTGCAATTAACAGCCAGTTTGATCAAGAAACTGCAAAAGTTCCGACCTAACCGATCTTTTCCTTGGGTTGAAGGTTGATTTTTGATGGAAAGGTCTCTTGGAATAATCTGCGATTCGCTGCTTTCTTATGTGGTCTGCATAAGGCAGTGTTTCTCAACCTTTTTTCAGTCAAGGCACCTTTTAAAATTACGGACAGTCTCAAGGTACCCCATTCTAAACTGCGAAAAACTATTCTAATAGTTTTATATAACACAGCAACATCCACACATGTAGGACACCCAACATTAGAGGTGATTTATTCTTCCAAAGCAAATACACTTTTGCATGCCGGTACTGATATGTATGCCAATGTTTCTCTTCTCCCTCATTTTATCCTCCATCACTGAGCTTGGTGCCAGGGGCATCTCATGGGGCCCCCTACTGACCCCAGGCCCTCGGGCAGTGCCCGAGTTTCTAAATGGTCAGTCCGCCCCTGATCCATGCACACCTACATGATAGCGATCTAGCAACTATTAAAATTCCACAGCTCGTGCCACCTCCGTTTACTGCCGTTAAATGACAGTTCAATAGCCTGACTTACTGTTTGCTTGAAACCTGAAGCTTCGTATGTGGAACTGGAATATGTTTCAATTTTTGATAATTACACAAACATTTAATGGTATTTGTGCCACATTGTGGTGCTGCTTTTGTTCTCTTTGTTTTGTTTGTGTGATCAGGCAATGTATTATAAAGAATACATTGTCTATACTGTTTTTTCATCTCTCACAGTAAAGCATTATTAAACCCAAAAGCAAACATTTATTATATTGCAACTTACCAATTCTTAGATGTGATGGCTGCATTAGTTTTCTTTTTTAAGTTTTCTTCTATTTTCATCCGGTGGTACGGCCAATGCGTCTGTTGTTTTTCAACAGAGCAAGCTGTTCTGCACATGTAGCAATTAGAAGGTCGAGACAAACCATTTACCACTGATAGGAGTGCTTGCAATGATCAGTTTTTATTTATGTGAAACCTTTATCTTAAAAGGAATATACCGTATTTGCCGGCGTATAAGACGACTTTTCAACCCCTGAAAATCTTCTGAAAAGTCGGGGGTCGTCTTATACGCCGGTATACGGCGAGCCGGTGTGTCAGGGCGGCACTTTTTCCAGGGGCGGTGTCCTCCAACGGACACTAAGTACAGGGGTGGGCAGAGGGGCTGCTGTACCTTACCTGGCTCCGGTCCCGGTCCCACGATGATCCGGTCCAGGAAGCGCGGCTGCTCCTTCTTTCAGTTCGGCCACTCAATGGTCGCGCGGCCGCTCGGCTCCGCCTCCTCCTCCTCACCGGTGATTGGGCGCCAGCGCACACAGGCGACCAATCACCGGCGAGGAGGCGGAGCCGAACGGCCCCGCGAAAATCAAGCTGCCGAACTGAAAGAAGGAGCAGCCGCTCCTCTCCCCCACTGACACTAACGATGGGGCACACTATACCTCCTCCCCACTGACACCAATGATGGGGCACTATTCTCCCCCACTGACACCAATGATGGGGCACTATTCTCCCCCACTGACACCAATGATGGGGCACTATTCTCCTCCCCACTGACACCAATGATGGGGCACTATTCTCCCCCACTGACACCAATGATGGGGCACTATTCTCCCCACTGACACCAATGATGGGGCACTATTCCTCCCCCCACTGACACCAATGATGGGGCACTATTCTCCCCCCACTGACACCAATGATGGGGCACTATTCCTCCCCCACTGACACCAATGATGCGGCACTTTTCCTCCCCCACTGACACCAATGATGGGGCACTATTCCTCCCCCACTGACACCAATGATGGGGCACTTTTCTCCCCACTGATACCAATGATGGGGCACTATTCTCCCTACTGACACCAATGATGGGGCACTATTCCTCCTCCCCACTGACACCAACGATGGGGCACTATTCCTCCTCCCCACTGACACCAACGATGGGGCATATTCCTCCTCCCCACTGACACCAAACGATGGGGCACTATTCCTCCCACTGACACCAATGATGGGGCATGATTCCTCCCACTGACACAATGATGAGGCACTATTCCTCCCACTGACACAATGATGGGGCACTATTTTCATCCACTGACACCAATGATGGGGCACTATTCCTCCCACTGACACTAATGATGGGGCACCATTAGTGTCAGTGGGAGGAGTAGTGCCTCATCATTGGTATCAGTGGGAGGAAATAGTGCCCCATCATTGGTGTCAGTGGGAGGAATAGCACCCCATCATTGGAATACCATACTGAAATACCATACCATATTGAAATCAAATCTGATGTTTTTTTTCATTTTTATTTGGTGTGCGTTGGAAGAGGGGTAGTCTTATACGACGAGTATAGCTCAAACCCTATATTTTAACAGGAAAAGTAGGGGGTCGTCTTATACGCCCAGTCGTCTTATACGCCAGCAAATACGGTATATGTGACTGCATTGTGAGCTGGAGTTTGGCTTAGGTTTGTTAGTATATCTAAATATGCTAGTTCATCTAACATTCCCCTCCCCCACGACTGACAATGCTGCTGTCCAGTGGTATCCCCTGTGCTCCTTTATCCAGAGCGGGTGCTCTCTAATACAGGAGATGCGTTACTGGCCAGATCACCAGGTGAAAGCAGAGGAGAAAAGCCTAAAAAAAAAGAAAACTAATGCAGCCACCACATATAATGATTAGTGAGCTGCAATATATTAATACTGCTTTAATGCCCACAAAAGGATTAGTAACAAAAACATTGCAATGGTAAAATACATGTGAAGGGATTTGGAGAAGTTAAAGGTGCTGTATGGCCACTCCACCCCAACAGCATGCCATTCCCAGGGGTTGGGGGGGGGGGGGGGGGTTCCTACAGATTCCTAACGATCTTCCATTGACCGCAACTCAGAATGCCCAGAGATCTGGTAGGGGTAATAATTCTTCATATTTGGTGTTTTCCAAAGACGTGCTTTTCATCATCAGTGATATTAGGAAATGCCTTTGATACGTGGGAGTAATTAGTGCTGGGAACGTGGCTTCAGATCAGATGGCTGCCATTCTTTAATGAGAACATTTTCTGGTTTCCAGGGATACGACATCAGCTTCCTGATCACAAACTTCCACACGGAGCAAATGTACAAACACAAGCTGGTCGACTTTGTCATTCATTTTATGGAGGAGATCGACAAGGAGATCAGCGAAATGAAGCTGTCAGTCAACGCCAGAGCTCGTATCGTAGCCGAGGAATTCCTAAAGAACGTAAGCAAGTTTATGTTTTCATTTCTTAGGTGGGCCAGGGAATCGGTGGCATGTACTAATAACAGGCTCCAGGCTGACGAAGAAATGTGAATCTTGGCATGGTTTGCCACTCTCAAGCTGCTGTTATATTTCCAATGATCGTCAGCTTCCTCTGGTGGCCATATTGTGGTATTTTCCTGAAATATGTCAGTTGGGAAAACATCCTATTTTGGCCACTAGAAGGAGCTGTCGATCATCGGAAATAAATGTATTAGGAAAAATTTTAAAATTTTCATGACACCCGAGCAAACATTGGCACATCACTTTTGGCTTGGGACATTGGCACATCATTCTTGGCTTGGGACATTGGCACATCATTCGTGGCTTGGGACATTGGCACATCATTCGTGGCTTGGGACATTGGCACATCATTCGTGGCTTGGGACATTGGCACATCATTCGTGGCTTGGGACATTGGCACATCATTCGTGGCTTGGGACATTGGCACATCATTCATGGCTTGGGACATTGGCACATCATTCGTGGCTTGGGACATTGGCACATCATTCGTGGCTTGGGGCATTGCCACATCATTTGGCTTGGGGCATTGCCACATCATTCGTGGCTTGGGGCATTGGCACATCATTTGTGGCTTGGGACATTGGCACATCATTTGTGGCTTGGGACATTGGCACATCATTTGTGGCTTGGGACATTGGCACATCATTTGTGGCTTGGGACATTTGCACATCATTCGTGGCTTGGGACATTGGCACATCATTCGTGGCTTGGGGCATTGGCACATTATTTGTGGCTTGGGACATTGGCACATCATTTGTGGCTTGGGACATTGGCACATCATTTGTGGCTTGGGACATTGGCACATCATTTGTGGCTTGGGACATTGGCACATCATTTGTGGCTTGGGACATTGGCACATCATTTGTGGCTTGGGACATTGGCACATCATTCGTGGCTTGGGACATTGGCACATCATTCGTGGCTTGGGACATTGGTACAGCATTTTTTTGTATAAATTGATCCCTAAAGTCATATGTAAACTTGAACAATGATTTTCTTGTATTTTGCTTTTTAATGGTCAGTAAAAGTGGTTCTAAAGGTAGAAGGCTTTTTACCTTAACCTCTTCACGCCGGCCGCACGCAAATGTGCGGCCTCCCGGCGTCTGTGCCTAGACGCCGAGCGGCCGCACATTTGCGTTCTATTAAAAAAGGACATATGTGCTGAGAGCGTGTGCCCCGCGTGCTCCCAGCACACATGTCCGGTACTCACGAAAAGTTCCTGATCTCCTCTTTCGATCAGGACCTTTCCCGATCATGTGACCAGCGTGATGGTGCATCACAGCGGTCACATGACCCTAAACTCCGCCCCGGCTTCTGATACTCTTAAAGGGCCAGGAGGCGCCGGAGTGAAGGGGTTAAAGTGTTGGTAGTAAACTACTTTTCTAAATTGGTACCTACAGGTAATTTTATAATAAAGCTTACCTATAGTTTCAAGGAATATCTCCTAAACGTTCACCATTTAGGAGATATTCTCTAGTTCTCCACCTGGGGACATCACATGTGCACGGCGCTCTGAAAGGACGGCATGCTAAGTATTCTGTCCCTGCACTGTGCCATGATGGTAGCTCTCGTGCACATGAGCGGGAGTGACATCATTGCGGCTTGGCCATTCAAACAGCCACTGCCTGCAAACTCGGAAAGCAGACCGGTTGAAGATGGAAGCCCTGTCGGGACCTTTTCCGATCATGTGACCACCGTGATGGCGAATCACGGCGGTCACATGTCCCTAAAACCGCACCCACCTCCTGGTTTCTGAAACTCAAAGGGCCGGGAGGCACCAACGTGAAGAGGTTAAAGCGGAGTTCCACTCACCCTGTCAAAAAATAAGAGTCAGCAGCTACAAAAACTGCTACAAAAAACAGCCACTTACCTGTCCCTTGGTCCCACGGTGTCTCCTCTGTAGTCCGTTTCACCGGCCGTCCTGTATTCCTGGAGGCCGGCATCTTCAGTGTGGGCACCCGGCTGTGACTCCTTGTGGCTTCACAGCCGGGTACCCACTGTGCATGTGCGAGTAGTGCTGCGCTTCATGAATGGTCCTGTAATCTTCTGGGACCTGTCACGTGTCCCAAAAGACTACAGGGGGAGGAGGACACCTTCCGTTTCTGATCGCCTAGGCAATCGGACTGGAAGTGGGAGCGGGTACCTGTTAAATTCGGGTACCCTCTCCACCCCGCCAATCCTTAATGGGGAGCGGGGGAGCAGTCCTTAAAGCGGAACATCCATGTTTGGGTGGAGCTCCGCTTTAATAACATTCAATTACAATTGATTTCCTCTGGATCAATTGTTGGTATAGAATTATAACTTTTTTTTTTGGTTGAACTGGATGGACTTTTTTTTTGTCTTTTTTCAGCCAGACTAACTATGTAACAATATGACTTGTGTTGCAATTGTATACGCTATGTGAATGGGGTTTTTTTTTATTTGCTAATTTTTTTTCCTACGAAAGTGGAGTTACCCATAAAATTAACTTCTCCTCACTTCTGTGTGATCTTTGGGGATGTTCGAACCTTTTCCACTCGTCAACTTAAAAAAAAAAAATTGTCAGGAGTCACTCTATAAACCTTGGCATTTCAGGTCCCAATATTTAACTACACAGTGGAGAAGAGTGAAGGATCAAAACATTATGTCAGTCAGATTCGTGCAAATATTATGATTCAAATCATGCAAGGAAATGCACTTCTCTATGCATTTGTTGTCCTAGCTACAAGCCTGCATTCATCTTTTGCAACCAATCAGACATAAATCCTTGACTAGTCATGACTCGTGCTTTGACTTTAGCCCCTTGACGCCGAGTGCATGCAAATATGCGACCTCTTGGCATCTGGGCCTTGACACCGAGTGGCCGCATATTTGTGTGCCATTAGAAAATACATATGTGCTGAGAGCGTGTGCCCTGTGCGCTCCCAGCACGTATGTCCGTGACTCACAGGAATGTCTCGATCTCCCCTTGCGATCGGGATCTTTTCCGATCATGTAATCGCCGTGATGGCGGTCACATGACCCTAAAGCCTTGCCCATCTCCCGGCTTCTGAAACTCTTAAAGGGCCGGGAGGCACCGGCGCGAAGTGGTTTAAAGCGGAGTTCCACTCACTCACAAAAACTGTAGCTGCTGACTTTTAAAAAACAGCCACTTACCTGTCCCACGATCCCGCGTTACCCCTGCTGCTGCCCGTTTCACTGGCCGTCCTGTATTCCAGGCGCCGGCATCTTCAGTGTGGGCATTTGGTTGTGACAGCTTGCAGCTTCACAGTCGGGTAACCGCTGCGCTGCCTGAATTGCCCCGTCATCTTCTGGGACCTGTCACTTTTCCCACAAGACTTCGGGGAGGGAGGGTAGGAGGACAACTTCCGTTTCCGATCGCCTAGGCGGACGTGGGAGCGGGTACCTGTCGAATTCAGATACCCGTCCCCCCCCAATCCATAAATCCTTAATGGGGAGCGGGGGACTAATCTTTAAAGCGGAACTTCCCCTTTTGGGTGGAACTCCGCTTTAAGGACTGATTCACACCAGCAGCCACGGTGAACGGACAGCCGCTCGTGTTTGCTGGAAAGACACAGTGCTGAAGCACTGATCCTGGCACATCCCACTAATACTCAGAAATCCTACCTATAGATTAGTTCTAGTTAGTGACTAACTGCCCTGATAATGTATTCCTTCTCCTGGTCTGTAACGGGGTATTTACAACCAGACGGTGTGCAAAATAGCCAAGCAACTAGCATTTTAAAAATAGGACTTGCAACCTCAAGTTATCTTGTTTGCCATTGTTGCAATATAGAGAACATTATATCTGTTTTCTAACAACGCATTTTGTTTTATTTTTTTTCAGTTTTAATCAACGTGTCTGGACGGCGGATGTGACTCCCTCATTTTTGCTCCTGGATCTCTGCATCGCTGCCCCTCAGGGGTGGGGGGGAATTAAAGGGCCAAGGGAGGGGGCTTGCATTTAGGTGCAGAGTAAGGAAATCGGTGAATGTCTGTCAGACCTCAGGGGGAAAATGTACATGGCATTTACCTTCATTCCAAATTCCCCCACAGGATGGGACAGAATATTTTTATTGTTATTTTGAGAGAAAAAAAATGTGCTTGTCTCAATCTGTAATCTTCCTTTTTTATTTTTTAATATTGCTTTATTTTTTGTTTTTTTTTCTTTATCGCAGTCTTTACAGAGAAGGTCATTAAAGTGATTTTCAGTAAGTGCCCACAGCTGGAACCTTCAGTCACATTGAAGGGGCTGCTCTCGAGTGCATTATCAGCTCTTGCTGCTTCTCCCACAACCCCCTCAGCGATTTTTTGTTGTTTTTTTTTTTTTTTTTTGTTTTTTTTATATAAACTTGGCCATGGATCAAACTCAAAATACACAGCCTGGTGCATGTATGATTGGCAGCGGGCCATCTTCCTGCTCCCTGACAGGTCCATTAGCGAGAGCGCGACCGTTTTTACTTACAAGACTGCCAGAGGTACTGTAATAAAGGTGTATATTCTATCAGTGGTCTGTACAGGGTGGCCTCCCTCCCAGCTCATTCAGAGGAGAGATCTGAAGACCGCTGTGCTGTCGCAGGTCAGAACACGCCTTTATATTTCACTCCGGACTTTTGCCAAATCATACGGTTTGTCTCTGAAATAGTAATTGCAAATTTTCAGAGCTTTTTCTTTTTTTTTTTGTTGTTGTCGTCCGTCCCCCCATAAAATGAGAATTGGGAATCTGAAAAAAATATATATCCTCTATATCTTCTGCTTTTTTTGCACTTAATGTAGATTTTTCTTATTCAAAAATAAAGCCTTTTTGTCCTGTCTCCTATTACTGCAAGTCTGGTTTATTTAAAGGGACGCTCCTTTCGAAAGGTAAACATTTGCATTTTAAAGCTGAAAGCTGGGAGAAACGAACTGTCTAGATACGATATTTTTGTGTATTCTTAGTTCTTGGTCTATTTTTTTCTAGATATTGGAATCCAGTGTGAAACAACTCTTATACTGTGACGTTGTTCAGGTATTCCTGTAATAAAGACCAGTCACTGCTGCTCTCTCTCTCC